GTGGAATACTTAGAAAACGTTTATTTTAGACAATGACGTAGGATCATTTTGAACATGTGAGTCACTATCCTGGTTTGACAGTTCAGTATCCGCCCAGAAAACGATTCCAGCCAGTCGGCTGACAAGATGCAGTGGATGCTGCCAGACAGTTCCAGACCCAGATGCCTAGAAGGCTGCAGAGCTGACAGGAGATCAGATCCGATCTGACAAAGGAAGGCAGGATAATCCACAGCGTGAAGTCAAGAGGCAGAACCAGGCTCTTCCCATGGAAGAATCCAATAAGAGTCCAAAGAGAGGCCAGGCAAACTAATCAGACAGGGGCAGGCAGACTCAAAGGTCCAAATACAGAAATGGATCAGGATCAGGCAATCAGAACACTATAGAAACGCTAAAGAACTCTCAAAGCCAAAGGCTCAAGAATAATCTGGCCTGATGGCTGGGACTGAGGAGTTTAAATAGAAGCAGGAGCAGGTGGATCAAATAAGTGGTGAGAAACAGAGCAAAGCTAGACATTATGTCAATATATCATTAAAGACAGATGAGTAATGACATCATACCTTCCAGCTGGTAGTGAGCTTCTATCTTCACTGTATTTCCCTCAACAAACTGGCAGGTGTATCTTCTGCTGCTGTTGTGAAGCTTCACAGTGAGATAAGAATCACAGCCAGTCTGTCTAAACTGGTACCCAACACCTTCACCAGTCAGAACAGTTCCTCTCTCATCCAACCAGAGGAGGCTGTTCTTTGGACAAAAAGAAATCCAGTTGAATCTCTCCAGGGAACACTGTAATGTGACATCTCCATCTTCAGTTGGATCAGCAGCTGGTGAAGATGGAGAGACTGAAAGAAAAATGAAAACTGTTCTCAGAGTCTGAAAGATGGAGAATTTTTTTTTTTTTATCTCAGGCTGTATAGTGGCAAAATTTCTTTCCTTACAATAAAAATGTGCTTCACCACTCTTGCAGGGCACAACGTTTCTGACTTGTTAACCTTTCTCAATAACTGAGCCAAAATGGATATAATAACTTCAGTTTATTACGAAATTCAGGCTTTACAAAAAGAGGAAGGGGTGGTTTGTCACATCCATGAACTTGTAGTGACATGAACTTTTAAAGAACTGTTGGTTCTCATCCTCCTCCATTAATCCTTCTCAAGAGCATGCACACTCTAAAAAAGTGAAACTGACACTAATAAAACACCAGACCTGAATTTCAATTCAATTAAGTGATAAAACCTAAATTCAAAATATATCCAAATGCTTATTGAAAAAAAGGATATTCCTCATACCTAATTCGAGCAGATAAATAAGGGGAGTGTCTTTACTCTTAAAATTAGATACT